TTATTTCAGAGTTTTCTGCAGGATGTCAAAGTAAAGTTACAAAGTTTTAATCGCCAAAGAGTAAAGAGTTGAACGGTAACTGTGGACTCGTCCTGCAGAGTGCAAAGCATGACTTGATTTTTGTTTTAATCAGAGAAAGTGATCATTACTGGTTAAGATGTGGCCACAAATCATTCAGAAGAACCAGGTACTCATCACGTGATTGTAGGGAGGAGATGGCAGGAGAGTACGAAGAAAGACGCAGAAAAGGATGTGAAGGAATATTTGAAACGAAGAGGTTTTAGAGAAAAGAGCTGTGATGGAAGAAGAAACGGAGGGAGGGTTAATGCAGAGTTCAGTGTCAGCGTGAGGAGATTAACGCCTTTAATTCATTATTAAGGCTGCAGAGAGAGGAAGAGGAGGCAGTGACAGAGACGAAGAGGATTCGTATACTGCGTTTCTGACGAGTCACATCATGATTGCGTCTCTCGCTCTGGTGACAAACTCGTCTGCAGCAGTCATGGAGTCATTTCTGGGATTAAACGTTAATCTTTATTTCGAGATTGCAGCTGTGAGGATTTCTCCGGTGGGATAATTAGCTGTGATAACGTGTTTGAGATGTGGCATTAAGCATGTTTCAGTGAGAGTAAACAACGAGTTTTAGAGGAAATTAGTACGAAGCTTTTAAGTAAATGCAGGTAACGCAGGAAAAGAGGTGCTTAAAGCAGTGAAATCTGGATTCCCGAGTGCTGTGTGTTCATCGGTGTTACCAGAATGGCTCAAATGTGCCATCGTCAGATTTTAGCTTCAAAGAGAAGAAGACAGTTTAGTGTTTCTGTGCAGGTCCATAGTCTAAGGAGCTTGGAAAGAAAAGATGTTTCACCTCTCATCTGAGAAACAGTCTTGGCACTGAAGAAGTCCAGTCGCGTAGACACTTTAGTCGAGTTTCCCTTCATGATGATGTGCGTTGGATCCTCAGCGCTCAGTGGAACTGGAAAGCCGGAGTCGTCCCCACTGAAAAATAAAAACTGCGTCTGATTGTAGCGTCATTGCCTTATAACTGAGGGGACTGTTCCTGCACCTCAACGGGAACGCTTCACCGGTAAAATAAGCTAATAGGTGGCGTGATTGCACAGGAAGTGTATCCCGTCACAGTGGAAATGAGCTGCGTCCCACTTTCTTCCAACGATCCATCAGATTTAGACGAGTAACGTGCGTCTACTCCGGTGTGACCTTTCCCTCTCTTGGCTGTCTTTACTGGAGATGACAGGTGTCACTGCTCCGCTTGTGAGTGATCGGCTGTCAGAGGAGCTTTTTTTTCCTCACAGGTTGAACTTCACGCTCTGAAACAGCCTGAAGCGAAGCAGGATTATTATGTGAAAGACGCGCTGACAGCTTTGAAAGATGTGACCACAGCGCTACTCTTAATTTGCCTCCATGCAGTTGGAGGCTCCGGCTGTTTGTGCGGGGGAGACTAGCATCAGTTGTAATTTGTGTATTTGAGGTGTAGTGAGCATATTTGCATTTGTGCAATAAGTACTAATACACTTCAGTACAATGAGTCTTTACTAAAAACAAAGGACTATAGCATTATAAAGACTTACAGTTGCCCTAAAGTCGGGCGATATGTCAGATTTTTCCAGCCAACATTCATCTGTCCAAGAAACAACGATAGGTGATGTATCCATGCAGGTGACTTTTTGATGGGCGAAGCAATGCAATCGTGCACGGACTGATTTATTTATTTAGAACAAAGAAGTCCAAACATGGAGGAACTAGTTGCCAAAAACCCCCCAAAGTCGTCAGTTTGGGATTTCTTTGGCGCTAAACCGGATGAAAGAGGCAAAGCTGCTGCTGTGCAGACGTACAGCAGCAGCAAACTCAAACACGACGAACTTGCACGAGCATTTAAGTGTTCGCCGTCCAGCTGAGTACGCTCGGCTATCA